CGTCGCCCGCCGCCCTTCCTCGATGCATTCGGCCATCACTTCGTTGCCGACGATGGCGTTCAAGGCGTTGTACTGACGGGCGACCTCTCCGAGGTCGTTGCTCCGTTGCAGCCGCACGAATGCACGCCAAGCTCCACCACCTGAGCCCGTCACACCCTCGGGCCGACGACGCTGCCCGCCGAGATCTCCTGCTGCAGGCGGCCCGCCCCCTGGCCGGCGAGATCGCTGAGAAGTCGGGGACATCGAACTCCAGGGGTCATGGCGCACATGGTTTGAAACCCATTTCGTGCTGAGGCCCATGACGTCGAGCTGTCTGCACTGCGCGCGGCCTTTGACAAATCGTCGCAGGTGGCCCTGTCGACACTCCAAGATATCAGTGTTCATTACTATCATCATAATGTGCAAAGCCAACTTCATCCGCGTAGCGTCCAACTCCAAATCGTTATCCAACATAAATTGGCGGCTCCAAGAATCAAAGTAACACGGGGGCCTCTCCTTGAGAATCTTGGCGAGATCGGGCTGCTCTATGATGAGAAATAACTGGAAGGGCGGGCGCGAATGGGAAGACGCCAACAGCTTCTCAGTGAGAGCGCCCAGTCTAGATTGTGAGATAAAGCAGTCCGCCTTGAGCTGGTTGGACATGTCGCCCTCCCGCAAAAGCATCCACACGGTGGGGTTTTAAAAAAGGACACGCAGTTGACGGGACGCCCTGCTCTCAATCTCAAGGCGGGCGTGGACAAGAACGGGGTAGTCTCGCAAGAGGGAAACGCCAGTAGCTCCAGCGTTGGCCGAACGAGCTGCTTTTGCATCTTGTTGTCTATTCCAACGCACTGACCCGATGGTGAGCTCCTGTTTCTGCATGCCTTGAGCAACGGACAGCAACATACGCAAGGCAACGAGTCGCCCACATGCGGAGGGCGATGCTGTCTGCAAAAAGCCTTGCGCCTTCGCCCGCCGTTCGGCATTCTCCCGTGCCCACGCAGACTCCTCTCCCGAGGGTTGGCTTTGACCTGCCGCACCTCCACCAGAATCCAACACCAGGCCAAGCTGGTCCCGAGGCCTAAGGGTCGGCTGCAATATTTTGGGAACCGTTGGGTCCACTCTTTGGGGCACTCTTGAACCCCCCCCCCTTGGCAGGTAAGAAAAGCGAAACATGTGAACAAAACTCCGAAACATGGTGCTCTTACAAAGCACGCAAGGAATCCAGTTTCGGAAACAAGTTTCCTTGCGTGTATCTTGGCCTCTTGCGCACCTTGAGGGCCCAAGACGGCCTCGACATTTCCCGAATAAGGTTTCAAGACGACCCAAGATGGCCCCAAGGCGGCCCAAGGCGGCTTCAAGAGGGCCCAAGAGGCCTTGAAGACGGTCCGAGAGCCCCAATGGGTACCCCAAGAAAGCCAAAAGCGATCAAAACCGACGATGCCCCCGATGCGTTTCAGTGGTTTTATCGCTTATACCTTTGCATATTTTCCCAGCCGAAGACAGCCCAATAGGTCCCCAAGATGACCTAAGATGCCCAAAGGGGCCCTCCAGAGGGCCCCGAGATCGGCCCAAGACAGGTCCAGAACCATTTTGGCTCAAGCCGTTCATTTTGGCTCAAGTCGTTCTGTCGGTTGTCGGTGGGTGCGCCTTCCACTTTGTTTCTCCCGCCGTGGAATACAAAACGCGATTCTCTTTCGGCCAGAACGAAGGATGGAGGAGGAGGGGGAGGACGAGGAGGACGAAGACGAGGATGATGAGAATGGGGGGGGAGGGCGACGACGAGGAGGCGAATCGCCCCCCCCCCCCCCCCCCCCCGCCTGATAAGAGAACCACTTTTGGAGGTCAGTAGTCCGCGTTTGTTTTTGTGATCCGCAGGTCGTTGCGGATATCCCCGCCAGGGGGAAGCAAGACCCGATGGACGTCAAGCGGGGCGCTAAAGTGGATGCAAGACCCATGGGCGCCCGCGTGGGGCGCGGCGGCAGAGCTCGCCGCAGGCAGTTTGATAGAGGACGATGGCCGCCTCGGCCGCGCCGCCGTCGCCGCCGCCAAGGGCCTCTCCAGGCGGGCACGGTGGGCTCCCGCGCGCCTCGCATCTTCCTGCAGAAGGCGTCGTGTACTGGAGTAAGACAACCTCCCAAGAGCAACATCAAAGAAATGCCGCACGGGGCCTCCTCGGCGTGCATCCATTTCTTACGCAGATACACCATCGGCGCTCGACTGGCCAACGCGCTACTGATGCCAACCACTGCTTTCTGGATCAAGACCTCCTTGTCAAAGGCCACACCAGCAGGAACCATAATGTAGATCTTCTCATCAACACCTACACCCCGGTCGCCAGTGGCCAGCGCGGAGAGGAGCATCCTGGCCATCCAGTGGTCGCCGACGTGCGGAACAAACCATTTCAATATAAGTTGTCGGCGGACCTCTGCCCCCAGTGGATTCCGCCCGACTTGGACGTCAAGGCGGCGTCGTAGATGATCTTCCAGGAGCCCACGAAAAATCGACAAGGCCCCAGGCGTGATTAAACTCAAACTGAGATTGATCATTCCTGAAATCACGTCCTCGAAGTTTGATGTCGCACTGACCCTGATGCTTTGCATCATGTGCTGGCGACACGGCACAACCAAGGATAACCATGTGCGCATTTTGCGATACAATCTTCTCCTCTCCCGTCTCTCAACAACTAAGTTCGAAGGGTGCCTGTCGCACGCCACCAACCGAGTGCACGATTGGAACGCCAGATCTGGGAGACAGGTAGGGTCCGATTCCCTCAAGGCTGACAAGCACCCAGGCGTGTTGTGGAGCAAAGATTGAACACCGCATATCGTTCTCCCGAAAACCATCGCGTACTTGTCAATGCCTCCGCTGTTTTGTTTGCTCACCATGAATCCCCACTGCCGTTGCGTTTGCAACAGCTTTGTAGGTGCAGAACAATTCGGGCTAGGAAGAAGAGACAGGAAATCTTGCGGCAACGCAACTTCCATACTGTCTTCAGCGGCAACGCGCCCCCGAGGAGTTCGTGGATCTAGCTGGCGAAGGTGCAGTGGTGTTTCGTCGTAAGCCACGAAATCAATCAAATGCCTCGCAACCACCCCTGGGGATATACACGCTGCCTGCGCCACTGCACGACGACGGATGCGATCCTTGAAATAAGACATGGCAACCAATTGGACAGCGTGCTGGTGCAACTTCTGCCGTCCAATGCTCAAGCGATTTGCTTGCAAGGTCGCGGTGGCAAAATTCCAATGTGTAGACTCTGGATGGAACAAAAGCTGGGAGACATCTGAAACTTCTGAACCGCTGCTGTCTGAAAAGGTGCCCGCGTGTTGCGGAAAATACATTTGCCAAGTGCTCCTGAAGGGGATGTCCAAGAAAGCAAGCCGGCGCGGAGAACAGCTGACTTCTGACGGACGCGGGGACAACCAGTTGTTCAAATCGAGCCAGCTCTGCCTGCTTCTCATCAGCCCGACGTTTCTTATTGACCCTCGCAGCTTCCTGAGCAACTGCGATGTCCCCGCCCCCTCTCCGACGTGGTGCAGCCTTTGCTCCTGCTCCGCCATCGGCGCCGCCAGGCGGCATCCAGCAGACCCCGCGGACATGCCCGTCAACGGGTTCGTGGCGGGTCGGCGCCGAAATCGCAAGGGCGGCACGCGATCGCGGCACGAGGCACGACCTCTAGCCAAAATGGCTACGGAGACAAACGACACAAGCGGTGCCTCCTCCATGGGCGAGGCGCCAAGCCAGACGCCCCACGTTCACTCCCAAACAATGCTTGCACGAGTCTGGTCTAAAATGGTCGGTTTGCCTGATGTCTCACGTAAGAAGCCGTCGGACTTGGTAGACTACTCATTGCTCGGGAGCGCGCCCCACGAAAGAACGAACTGTTTGGGGTCGGCGAAATAACTTCGTTCGGGGCCCCCCGCTACCTCGCGAAGGGGGCTCAACAGGTGGGATGCCAGACAGGAGGCCCCCCCCCCTCCCCCTGCCACCCCCAACCGTGCATGGCGGAAGGAATGATACAGGACGGAAGGCCCCCCTGTCACCCCCAATTGTGTTTGTGTTGAACTTCGCAAGGGGTTGGGATACAGGATGGGAGCCCCCCCCCGGTCACCCCCTACTGTGCGAGGCGGGAGCAAGGATTCAGGGCGGAACCCCCTCTACCGTCACGCCCAACAGTGCTGGTCGTGGACTTCGCGGGAAGCTGGGGCACAGGGCGGTCCACCAATGTCTCGTCCGAAACCAACGGACTGAAGGTTTGGCCATTCGGCACAGCACCGACCCCACTTGAGGGTCCACCGCCGTTTGCTTCCGCCAGTTTCCATAGAGACCCCTCCGCCAGCACGCGCCCCCAGAGCCCTGCAACAATCGATCTTGCGTGCGCGACATTATTGATTTTTTTTGTTTGTTGTTCGAAGCTTTCTGGTTTCTAGCCTTTTCGAGTTTCCGACGCGCCGCCAGGCCCTGCGAGGGCCCCTCCCGCGGAGGGCCCCTCCCGCGGGCGGCGCCGCAGGCCGCGGCCCGTCCGAACCGCTGGCGGCGAGCGACGCGCCTCCTCTCCTTCCTCCTCCTCCTGCCCCTCCTCCTCCTGCCCCCGACCGACCATTAGTTCCTCATCCCCGTGCCCCTTCTTCCTCATCCCCTTCCTAACACGACAGTATGTGTAAACGTATGCGCGCGTAGAGGGGAGATTTTTTTTTTGCTTGAGGGTTTTTTTGAGGTTCGCAACAATGTGTTCGACAAACCATAGTTTGAGCATATTTTGAGGATATTTTGTGGTTCTTGTCTTTCACAGAACCAGGCGGTTGCAAACAATACAAGGCTCGGCGCGACCCCGCGGCCCCTCCCCAGGGGCGACGGAGCCAAATGGTTCTTGGAGGAGGAGGAGGAGGAGGAGGAGGAGGAGGAGGAGGAGGCGGAGGCGGAGGCGGAGGCGGAGGCGGAGGCGGAGGCGGAGGAGGAGGAGGAGGAGGAGGAGGAGGAGGAGGAGGAGGAGGAGGGGTGGGCCAGGAGGTGGGCTCGACCTCCCAGAGCTCCCGGGCCATGGCCTCGTCCGCCATGGCCTTCGGGCCCGGCACCCGGCGCAGCCGGAGGAAGAAGGCGCCGGAGGCCTGCTCCTCCAGGGCCGGCGGAGGCCCGAGGAAGGATTCTCACCCTGCCGGACCTCCTCCTCCGTCCCATCATCACCATCGCCATCATCATCAGCAGCAGCATCATCATAATCACAGCCATCAGCGACAGCATCATCACCATCGCCACCGTCTTCATAGTCCTCATCATCACTAGCATCATCACTACCATCACCATTGGAATTGCCATCGTGATCATCATCCGCATAATCATCATCAGCAGCAGCAGCATCGTCATTATCACCAGGATCCTCACACACACCATCATCGCTATCACCATCCACATCTTAAGCACCATCGTCATCACCATCTGCATCATAAGTATCGTCACATCGCCGTCGCAATCACCACAATCATAACCACCATCATGAGCATCACCAGCATCATCATCATCACCAGCATCACCACCATCAAAATCAGCATCACCATCACCATCATCCTCATCAGCATCAGCGTCATTACCATCATCGTCAGCAGCATCAGCATCAGCATCATCGTTATCATCAACATCATGAGATTGATCAGCATCATCATCATCAACATAATCACCATCATCATCACCGTCATCAACAACATCATCGCCATCCTTATCATAATCATCATCGTCGTCATCAACCGTATCGTCATCACCATCATCATCATCAGCAGCGCCATCCTCATCCCTTCTCCACGTCCTCATAGACAAACCCTTCCCCTTGAAACGCTCTACGTCTGACTCGTCCGTGTCCTCTTCCTACGCCTTATCCGCGTCGCAATTCCTCCCCCTCCTCGTCCGCACACTCCCGTCACCACCACCATCAGCACCACTACTCCTACTCCTACTACTACTACCACTACTGCTACTACTACTACTACTACTACTACTACGACTACTACTACTACTACTACGACGACGACGACGACGGCGACGACTACTACTACTACTACTACTACTACTACTACTACGACTACTACTACCACTACTACGACTCCTGCGACGACGACGACGACGACTACCACTACTACTACTACTACTACTACTACTACCACTACTACTACGACTACTACTACTACTACTACTACCTATACTACCTACTACTAATACTACTGATACGACTACCGTTACGACCGCTACTACTACAATTACTACTGCTACTACCACTACCACTACGACTACTACGACTACTACTACTACTACTACTACTACTACTACTACTACTACTACTACTACTACTACTACTACTACTACTACTACTACTACTACTACTACTACTACTACTACTACTACTACTACTACTACTACTACTACTACTACTCTACTACTACTACTACTACTACTACTACTGCTACTACTACTACTACTACTACTACTACTACTACTACTACTACTACTACTACTACTACTACTACTACTACTACTACTTACTACTACTACGACTACTACTACTACTACTACTACTACTACTTCTACTACTACTACTACTACTACTACTACTACTACTACTACTACTACTGCTACTACTACCGTTACGACCGCTACTGCTACAATTACTACTGCTACTACCACTACCACTACGACTACTACGACTACTACGACTACTACTACTACTACTACTACTACTACTACGACTACTACTACTACTACTAGTACTACTACTACTACTACTATCACTACTACGACTACTACTACTACTACTACTACTTCCACTAATCCTACTACTGCTACTACTACTACTACGACGGCGACTACTACTACTACTACTACTACTACTACCACTACTACTACTACTACTACTACTACTGCTACTACTACTACTACTACTACTACTACTACTACGACTACCACTACATCTACTCCGACTACTACTGCTACTGCTACCTCTACTTTCACTACTACTACTACTACTGCTACTACTACGACTACTACTACTACTGCTACTACTACTACTACTACTACTACTACTGCCACTACTACTACCACTACTACTACTGAAAACTCTGACGACGACGACGACGACGACGACGACGACGACGACTACTACTACAACTACTACTACTACTACTACTACGACTACTACTACTTCCCCCACTACTACAACTGTTACTACTGATACTACTACGACGACGGCTACTAAACTAATCTACTACTACTACTACTACTACTACTACTACTACTACTACTACTACTACTACTACTACTACTACTACTACTACTACTACTACTACTACTACTACTACTACTACTACTACTACTACTACTACTACTACTTACTACTACTCTACTACCTGCTACTACTACTACTACTACTACTACGCACTAACTACTACTAACTAACTACTACTACTACTACTACTACTACTACGACTACTACTACTACTACTACTACTACTACTAACTACTCCTACTACTACTACTGCTACTAGTACTACCACTACTACTATAGCTACTACTACTACCACGACTACTACTAACTCCTACTACTACTACTACTACTACTACTTTGTAAACTACTACGCTACGACTACACTATACGACCACTACTACTCCTACTGCTACCTACCTTTACATACTACGACTAACTACTGCTACTGCTACTACTACTACTACTACTACTACTACGACTCCCTACTACTACGACTACTACTACTACTACTACTACTACTACTACTACTACGACTACTACTACTACTACTACTAATACTACTGCGCCTACCACTGTAACTACTACGACTACGACTACCACTACTAATGCTGTGTACTCCCCCGTGTGCTACTACTGCTGCTACTACTGCTGCGTTTACCGCTACTACTACTGCTACTAATACGACTACCACCACTATTTCTAGTACTACTACTACTACTACCACTACTACTACTACTACTACTACTACTACTACTACTACGACTACTACTACTACTACTACTACGACTACTACTACTTCTACCACTACTACTGCTACTACTACTACTACGACGACGACTACTACCACCACCACCACTACTACTACTACTACTACTACTACTACTACTACTAGCACTACTACGACTACTACTACTACTACTACTACTACTACTACTGTTACTGCTACTGCTACTACTGCGGCTGCTGATGCTGCTGCTGCTGCTGCTGCTGCTGTTGCTACTAAGACTACTACTGCTGATACGGCGCCTACTACCACTGCTAGTGCTACTGCTACTGCTACTGATACTGCTGCTGCTACTGTTACTGCTACTGCCACGGCTACGGCTACTGCTGTTACTACCACTACTACCCCTTCCTCTGCCACTACGACTGCTATGTTTACGCCTACTGCTACCTACCTTTACGACTTCTTCTACTACTACTACTACTACTACTACTACTACTACTGCTACTGTTACTACTACTACTGCTACTACTACTACTACTACTACTACTACTACTACGGCTACTACTACTACTACTACTACTACGACTACTACTACTACTACTACTACTACTACTGCTACTACTACTACTACTGCTGCTTTTTTGTTTTGGTTTTTTTCACTACTGCTGCTACTACTCTACTACGACTACTACTACTAACCCTTACTACTACTAACTACTACTCTACACTACTACACACTGCTGCTAACTACTACTACTACTACGGCCTACCCCTGCTACTACTACGACGACTACTACTACACTACTCCGACTCCTACTACTACTACGGCTACTACTACTAATACTACTACTACTATACACTCTACTACTACTACTACTACCACTACTACTGCTACTAATACTGTTACTACTACTCTACTACTACTACTACTACTACTACTACTACGACCTGCACTACTACTACTACTACGACTGACACTACTACTAATACTACTACTACTACTACTACTACTACGACTACTACTACTACTACTACTACTGCTACGACGACTACTACTACTACTACCACTACTACTATTACTACTACTACTACGACTACGACTACTACTACGACTACGACTACGACTACTACGACTACTACTACTGCTACTACTACTGGTACTACTTCTACTACTACTCCTACGACGCCTGCTACAACTACTACGACTACTACTACGACTACCCCCAACTACTACTACGACTGCCACTACTACTACCACTACTACTGCTACTACTACTGCTACTACTACTCCTGCTGCTACTGCTACTACTACTACTACTACTACTACTACTACTACTACTACTACTACTACTGCTACTAATGCTACTACTACTACTACTACTACTACT